TATCCAGGGTCGTGAGCGGCTACCACTTGCTGAAGATCGTCGGCTACTCGGGCACCAAGGAGATCCCCAATGGCGAGGGGATCGACTCTTGCCCGTTCCGGGTGGGAGGCTGCACATGGAATGTACGTTACTATCCCAACGGGTTAAGATCTGAGTACAGTGGTTACATAGGCCTTTTTCTCTTCTTGAATGATACAGTCGCCGGCGAGACCAAGACCGTGAAGGCAAAATTCATGTTCAGCTTACTTGACCAACATGGGAAGCCGGTGTCATCGTATACCGGTACTTCCGACACGAGGGAATTTTCTGCGCATAAAGGTCACGGGTTTGGCGGATTTATGAGAAGGGTTCAATTGGACGAATCCGAGCATCTCAAGGACGATTCCTTCACGGTCAAGGTCGATGTCACTATCATGAGCGAGTTCCATACGCAGGAGACACCATCTATCCTGGTGCCACCATCTGATTTGCACCGGCACTTAGGGGTTCTTCTGTCGAGCAAGGCAGGCGTCGATGTCAAATTCCAAGTCGGCGGGGAGACATTCTCGGCGCACCGATTGGTACTTGCAGCACGGTCTCCTGTCTTCAGAGCAGAGTTCTTTGGCCAGATGAGGGAGGGAACCACCACTGAGGCCATACGCATAGATGACATGGAGGCACCAGTGTTCAATGCTCTGCTTACTTTCATGTACACGGATGCATTGCCGGATATGAAGCAAGAAGAAGAATATGCCATGGCTCAGCATCTGCTTGTTGCGGCAGACAAGTACAACCTGGAAAGGCTGAAGCTTATTTGTGAAGATAAGCTGTGCAATCGTATCGATACGAGCTCCGTGGCGACTATCTTGGCATTGGCCGAGCAGCGTCAGTGCCACGAGCTTAAGGCAGCATGCTTGGTGTTCCTCAGCTCGCCGACGAATCTGGGTGCGGCCATGGAGTCTGAAGGTTTCGAGTTTTTAACCAAGAACTGCCCTGGTGTTATTAAGGATCTCCTCAAGTCCCAGGTTGCTGCTAGTATACTTGGGAAAAGAAATTCTAGGGCATGAACATGAGGTTGCAGTCCTGCATATCGTCATTTGCAATCATCCGTCCAGAAACTGACTACAGACCCTGCATGCTATCTAATACTAGCATTAGTGCTTTTTATGTGTAGTCTTGATCTCACAAGGATGTGATGTATGATGGTTCGACAAGCTATTCGCGAAGCAAAACTGTATGTGCTAATTAGTGAACATTTAGTTCAGAACTTGTAAGCCTTTCAACTAGTTGTTCTTTACATTGTGCCACAATCTCTGCGAGCATTGCGCTGCTTCCTGAGTTCATGCACCCCTCGTTCAGTATTGGGCACTTCTTATTTAGCAGGTTCAGATAGACCATGACTTGTTGAAATGCTGGGTTGGGATCCAGTGAAAAAGCAATGGTCTTGTCAGGTTTTCAATTGTTTTTATGGCTGCAGTTTTTACCTCGTAATGATGATTTTGGACATGGCAGTGGCTGCTATGAATGTTTTGAAGTTTGGTCTCGAGTATTATTATACAAGCTTATGATTTCATTTTGTTGTTGTTGCGGATTTGTAACCAGAAGCTGTTTTGTTCTGTCTTATACATCTGAAGTTGTTGTTTCCGGATTAAAGATCAAATAGTTGCAAATTTCACTAAATTGATAATTAAGTGTACATCCAAAAGTAAAAAGGGTCCAGCTGTTTACTTGCCAAGATGTCAGTACTTGTGCAGAAGTTCATTTTCGATAACCTTGTGATTGTAATAAACACATCGTTTGGTAGTTTGCATATTCACTGGCTCATTACATGCTCAACTTTCTGGTAGAATAGAACTTAATTTCCCTTTGCTTCCTGCAGCTGGATCTTTTCTTAGTTCTGGGACTGTCTGTCTGTTGTCACTTTACTCATTGGTTGCTGGAATCTTCGGTATGAACATACATTATATAGCAATCGCCCATTATGTACTATTGTACTGTAGCAATTTGTGTTGCTCATGTAGCATGTGGTTCTTGTACCAGGGCTATCTGTGCCTTCATGTTCATCTCTTTTCTAGTGTGCTGCCTATACTCTGCACAAGAATCTCATCACTGGGTCCTGAGTTTTGACTAGCTGGAATAACCACATTACTCGCTTCCCTCAACTGTAAATTTTGAGCTAGAGCCTCAACTTTGCAGATGATTCATCTCTTGTGCCAATTTTGTTTTTCAGCGAATTGTGCCAAATTCAATAGCATGTTTTCTTTCCTCTTGAGGGAACTATGTTGGAGAAAATCCAGGACGAACCATTTATATATGTTTGAAAACGCAAATACAGAGTTTCCTAATTAAAAGGAAAGAGAAAGCTATACTAACTGCACAGGCCAACTTGAACAGGAGAGGCAAGATTGGCAAACATAGTTCCCTGAGTGGTGTTGGAGCAGCAATTGGACTGCACCAAAGCATCAAAGTCATCATCACAACGAGAAATTCGCCGCGGAAAACCTAAACTATATGCGGAGGCATTCGAGCAGCGCCTGGACCAAAGCATCAAAGTCATCTGCGCAGCGACAGAATACCACCGAGATAAGCTCATCTTCATTGAGGAAAACCTTTGCGTTGCGATGCTTCCAGATAATCCAAATTATGTGCGGAGATAAGAACTGTAGAGTTGTACTTCACAAAAAGGAGGTCGTCCCAAACATCTCTAGTCCTGCTGCAGCTGGTCACAACTCACATCTAATGAAGAGCAGGTCGGACCTGCAGCCAAAACTGAAGAATGGACGGACAATGATGAAGACGACGCTCAGTAGTTTCAGAAAAGCACATAACGGACATGCGTCAGAAGAGGCCAGTCGTATCGTGAAACCGTGTCAATTAGTATGGAATTGGGGATGATGAAAAGGAAGAATAAATAGAAGAAAATAAGTAGCAAGTCGAAAGTGATACTTGCTAAATTTGTTGTTGCCAGTTTTTTAGTGTTTCAGTCTAGACATCGACACTGACATCGTACACAAATTTGCCCGTGATGACAGGCTTTTGCAGCAGGGAGAGACCTTGGCTACTTTACAAAATACGTATAAGCTATGCAGTATAGCACATGGTTTCTTCCCAATCCATAATTATATACAATTCATAAAGTGACCGCATGCATCGCCCAGATGCAGAGGCCGAGGGTCATCCTCCTTTTCTAAAATAATAAAATATATACAATTCATATAGTCATAATAACTATTCTGAAGATGAGGAACATCCCTAACCTCGGGAGGCATCTGAAGGTTGGAGAACTTGGACGGGATCTGGAGGTTGGTGCGACTAGTGGCGCTCAGGTACAGAGGCGGCGGTCGATTTCTACGGCTAGTGGACAGGAACTGTGTGCTGGTGGAGAGGAGATCGAGGGGATGAGAAGTCACTGCTTCTCCAGCCGGCGGCGCTTGGTCCTAGCGTGGTGCTCTCCTTCTTGGCCATGGGGAGCGACAATAACAAACAAGTAGTCAAGCACATTCCCGTGTCCATTTTAGGGCTCTTGCCGCTGCAATCCTGCTCCCAGAAATTGTCCAATAAAATTGGGAAAAATAAATTGTACAAACAGGTGATTTTGGCGAGAATATTCCTCAGACCATGGGGGTGAATTGGTGTACAGAGGTCTCCAATACTGATTTGGCTGGAAGGAAATCTCGTAGATGGTGCGGATGTGCGCATAGGCACCTTCATTTCTTCTCCAGTTTGTAGAAGAGAGGCGTCGATGCGCCATTCCAGCCCGCCGAAGAACCCACACACCTCTACAACCTACCGCCAACCGTCGATAAGAATCGGCACCGGCGAAGAAGAGGTTCTCGCCGCCCGTCAATGCCTCACGGGAAGAGGGTGACATATGTGATATCATGTCACCTATTTTGATTGCATGTGATATTTGTCTTTTATACTCTCTTTGTCCAGAAATACTAGTCCAAGAAATGAATGTATCTAGACGTATTTTAGTTTTAGATACATCTATTTTTATTCATTTCAACGACAAGTATTTCCGGACAGAGGGAGTACATCTTATTTTGTTTAGAACGACGGTAGCACTATAAGACGACCCCTTCAGTAAATTTGAAGGTAAAAGTGTTCTTCCTAAGTATGCATCGTTGCTACAGTTTGTCGTTTCAAGACACCACGTGATGCTCGGATGTGATAGACTCTAAGTTCACATACAACGGATGTAAAACAGTTTTACACATATAGAATACTTGGGTTAAACTTGACGAGCCTAGCATGTACAGACATGGCCTTGAAACACTGGAGACCGAAAGGCCGAACATGAATCATATAGTAGATATGATCAACATAGAGATGTTCATCATTGATGACTACCCCATCTCACGTGATGATCGGACATGGGTTAGTTGATTTGAATCACGTATCATTTAGATGACTAGAGGAATTTCTATTTAAGTGGGAGTTCTTTAGTAATTTGATTAACTAAACTTAATTTATCATAAACTTAGTCTTGTAGTTTTGCATATCTATGTTGTAGATCAATGGTCCGAGCTATCGTTCCCCTGAATTTTAATGTGTTCCTAGAGAAAGCTAACTTGAAAGATGATAGTAGCAACTTCACGGACTCAACCCGTAACTTGGGGATTATCCACATTGCTGCACAAAAGAATTATGTTTTTATGCACCCTAGGAGACACTAGACTCTGTGAACGTCTGAAAAATGTGGTCTGATGAATACTCTATAGTTCAGTGTATCATACTTTACGGCTTATAACCGAGACTTCAAAAACGTTTCGAACGTCATGGAGCATATGAGATGTTCCAAGAGTTGAAGTTAATATTTCAAGCAAATGTCTGGGTTGAGAGATATGAAGTCTCCAACAAGTTCTATAGCTGCAAGATGAAGGAGAACAGTTCTGTCAGTAAACACATACTCAAAATGCCTGGGTACTATAATCACTTGACTCAGCTGAGAGTTGATCTTCCACTTGATTCCGTCGTTGACAGGGTTCTTCAATCACTACCACTATACAAAGGCTTCATGATGAATTATAATATGCAGGGGATAAACATTCCGAGCTCTTCGCAATGCTTAAGGCTGCAGAGGTAGAAATCTAGAAGGAGCATCAAGTGTTGATGGTTAATAAGACCACTAGTTTAAAAAAAATGACAAGAAAAAAAAAGAACTTGAAGAAGAATGCCAATCAAGTTGCTACTTCCGGGAAGAAGCATAAAACAGAGTTCTTTACAAGGTGAAAGAGAACAAGAAGAAAGGAGCTACAGGCGGCACTGCACAGCCGCCAAATTAAACATGAGCGGCATGATTGGCAAACATAGTTTGAGCAACAATTGAACCAAAGCATCAAAGTCATCATCGCAACAATGGAATACCACGGAGGTAAGCTCAATCATCGTTTCGGTAAATCTTTGAATTGCGCATGTCTTTGACAAATATTTTTCTTTTTTTGAAACAAAACGGTTCGACAGATTTCATAGTGAAGAGATAAGAACTGTAGAGCCAACTATACAAAAAGGGAGGCCACCCCAAAGATCTTAAACCGTGCTTCAAGTGGTCACATTTGAACGAAGAGCATGTCGGACATGCAGCTAAAACTAAAGAATTGACGGATGGTGAAGAAGATGCTCAGAAGTTTTAGAAAGGGTGGGGTGCAGAACGGATATACGTCCATGGAGGCAGTCCTCTAGTAAAACCACTGTAAAGAATAGCGCGTAGCGTACAGAGAATAGTGCTGTTAATAGCACGCTATAGCGTGTAGAGAATTGCCTCGCTATATAGATCAGTGCATAATGTCTCGTTGATAGCATGCTAATAGCGTATTTCAAAGGGCAGCCCTATTTTGTATAGCACACTATTTTTTTTTCTTGAATGAAACTGCGCCAATTAGTACTCTGTAACAGGGGATATAAACAAGAACTGTAAATACAAGGGGAAGAAATTTCCCACGATCATATGCTCTTGCAGTAGGGAAATACCTTGCCCTGTGGCTACTCTAAATTGCCAATAAAAAAGAGGGCCTCTGTCTACTCTACAAAATATAAACTGTGCAGTATAGCACGTGTTTACTTGTTCAAGATGGCACGTTAGCTATCTCATCTAAAAAAAGAAGATGGCACCGTCGGATCTGCATCGTAGGTACGTACGCGGCCTGTGTCCGGAGCGGACTGCAGTTGCCTTTTCCG